AAAGAGTTCCCCTTTCTCTACATTCTCTCCAGCACTTGTTTGATGATAGCCATCCTGAGAGGTGTGAGGTGATATATCTCATTGTGGTTTTAATTTGCATTTCTCTGATGATTAGTGATGTTGAGCATCTTTTCATGTGCCTGTTGGCCATCTGTATGTCCTCTTTGGAAAAGAGTCTATTCAGGCCCTTTGACCATTTTTTAATTGGATTGTATGTTATTTTGGTGATGAATTTTATAAGTTCTTTATAAATTTTGGATATTAACCCTTTATCAGATGTATTGGCAAATATATTCTCCCATTCCGTGCATTGTCCTTTTATTTTGTTGATGGCTTCCTTCGCTGTTCAACAACTTTTTAGTTTGCTGTAGTCCCATTTGATTATTTTTCCTTTTGTTTTCTTGCCCTGAGCAGATATAGCTGAAAAAATATTGTTACTAACAACGACTGAGATTTTACTGCCTATGTTTTCTTCTAGGATTTTTATGGTTTCGAGTCTTAATATTTAAGTCTTTAATCCATTTTGAATTTATTCTTCGGCATAAGAAGATGGTCAAGTTTCATTTTTCTGCATGTATCTGTCCAATTTTCCCAACAACAATTATTGAATAAACTATCTATAGCCCATTGTATGTGCTTGCTTTCTCTGTCAAATATTAATTGACTATAAAGGTGTGGGTTTATTTCTGGGCTCTCTCTTCTGTTCCATTGATACACGAAAAGTGTCCAGCCATTGTTAATGTAATGAGAATGGTTTGCGCAACATCGCTGTAATCTGACAGCCAAGGAGAGTGGACTGGAATGTGCATGCATGAAAAATGACAGCTTCATTGTACCAATCAGTGGGGGCAGTAAACGCCACTGAGTGAGCGTGTGTACTGTGTGACTGTTGCAGTCAAAATGACTCAGTGAGTAGAGCAACAAATCTGCATCAAATTTTGTGTTAAGCTTGAACATTCCTCCACAGAAACTACTTGGATGATTCAGAAGACTTTCTGGGACGATGTAATGAGCGCAGCACAAATAAAAGTGTGGCACAAACAATTCAAAGATGGTCAAGAATTTGTTGAAAGCGGCCTATGTCCTGGAAGGCATGCAACAAGCAAAAACACCTGAGAATGTTAAATGTGTATGGGCTACAATCAACAAAGGTCGGTGACTGACATTGCAGGAACTAAAAGCTGACCTGGGGATTCCAGAAACTATTGTCTGAGATTTCGATGTAGGATCTTGGCATGAAATGTGTCATGGCAAATTCGCTCCACAGCTGCTTCTACCACAGCAGAAGGAACATAGTGCTGCAGTTACTAATGACTTGATACAAACCGCTACCAATGAACCAGATTTCTTCAAGAAGGTTATAACTTTGAAGGGGGGGACTGAGGCATCATTGTCCTATGTACACTGTCTCTTGTATCTTGTCTCTTCCTCAATAAATGTCTCTATTTTTCATATTGCTTGACTGGATACTTTCTGGACTGGCCTCGTGTGCCTGTTTTTATGACAGTACGATGCTGTTTTGATTACTGTGGCCTTATAGTATAGTTTGATATTAGGTAGCATGAGTCTTCCAACTTTGTTCTTTCTCAAGATTGCCATTGCAATTTTTGGCCTTTTGTTTTTCCATATAAATTTTTGAAATACTTGCCCTACTTCTCTGAAATACATCATTGGTATCTTGATAGGAATTGCGTTGAATCTATAGATTGCCTTGGGCAGTATGAACATTTTTATTGATGTCAGTTCTTCCTATCCATGAGCACAGTATGTGCTTCCACTGATATGTATCTTCTTCAGTTTCTTTCTTCAGTAATCCTCTCTTCTCTTTACCATTTTCTTAAAAACCACAGCCAAACTGGCATGACAGTTGAAAAAAAAGTGTCTCTGACAGGTTCCTCTATACAAAAAATTACTTATTGTCATGACTAATGGCCTAGAATAGTGCTAGGTTCTAAACATTTTTAGGAGGGCCATGAAATACCTTTGGAGGAAAAGAAAGAGTATTGTGAATAAAAATTTGCTTCTGATAAGGCAGTTATATATTCAACATAACTCATTAAGTTTTTTATTATTCACTGCCAAGAAATTTGAAATGAGACAGATTGTATACTTATCATTCCTCCCCTTTGAAATGCTTATTGTGGTAGATAAATTAGAATTTATTGAAGTTCTTGGCTTAGGATCCTAGGAAAATATCTGTCTGCTGAAGTTGACTGCCTTACTTCTGTGTGACTTCTCTTTCTGGCTCAAGTGTCTGACTGCCATGACAATGATCCAAATGTTTTAGGACATGCTAATGATGCCAGATCTCAACTCTGTATCACACTGATGGAAACTGCCCTGAGCTAATTTGGTTTTGAATTGCTCTTAGGACTTCTTGACAGATAACAGTAACTGCAGGAAAACCCCAGGTAGATGGGGTTCATCCATTCCTCCACAATCTTGCTACCAGCTTATATATAATGAAAGGTAGCCTCAGATAAACCATTTTTCCACACAACAGTCATTTAAATAGTCTTAGCAAGCAGGCACAAAGCATAACAAACTGCCCTATATAAGTTTAGCTCTTGCAGTTTTAAACATTCTGACCATTCCTTTTATGAAACGTTCTGCGGGGGCACAAAAAATCATTTTCTAACCAATGTTCAACGTTCTTCTGTCTGGGCTGGTAAGCAAAGTAACATGAGACAGTAACAGAAGAAAATGTCTAAAACTTAACTTCGGATGCACATGCTGGACTGCCATAAGAATATGAGTCCCAAGGAAACATTAGACAATTGTGGTTTATATGCCATTCTGGACAAAGGAGAGAGAGGCAAGGGTCTGAGATTTCAAAGTAGATGCAGGCAATTTTTTTGGCTAGAGAGAGCAAATGTGTGAGAAACAAATTCTTAGTGGTGCACCCAGAAACAGTGGGACTCTGAGGGATGGCCAACAAACAGGCTTTTGCAAGATTTCTGCCACATTTAATTTATTATGATGCTAAGGTCATGTTCCTTTTCGTTAAGCACACTTTCCTATCTGGATTCCTTAAGTGGGGTGGGGGTGGGGTGGGATGGGGCCGTGAAAGGTTTTTTCTGAGTCTTTCGTTTCTTAATAATTAGCTTAAAAATCAGTATCCCTAGAAGTATATTTTGAGGTGGCAAAATGTGTTGCTTTGAAATTGCCAGGAATGGAAGTCGTCCCAGCCTATATGAGGACCCAAAAAAACCTGGAATTTATTTATAAAAAATTGTGTATTCTTACACATTTAAACTTCAGTCACTTTCCACATACTCTCCATTTGATGCAATACAACTATCAAGCCTGCTCAAAATAATTTTTGAACTGGTCGATTTTGATGCCCTTTAGTGCTGCTGCCTTTTTTTGTTTCACCTCTTCCACATCAGCAAAACATTTCCTTTTGAGGACTTTTTTCATGGGGGAAACAAAAAACAAAAGTGCTGAGATCATGTGAATGGAGGGTGGGGCATGGGGTCATTCTGGGGGTTTTTTTTGATCAAAAACTGCTGAACACTCAGTGTGGTGTGGCCAGGTGCACTCATAAATCACCCATCATGAAATGGGCAAACGTATTCAAGGAGTCTTCAAAAAAATTCACTGAAGCAGAACGCAGCTTCTCACAACAATGCCAGCTGGTACATTGATACAGATGGGTTCCTAGAACAGTCACCTAGCAGGAAAAGGTTGTATGGGGCCCATCCTTAAGATTATTCTGGGTTTTTTGGGGGTCCCCCTGGTATTCCTGCCCACAGGCAATGTTAGTTTCCCCATAGCCTCACCAACACAATGCCTTTTCAAACTCCTTTGATTTTTACCAGTCTGAAGGAAAACTAGAATCTTATAGTTTAAATTGGCATTTTATTTTTTTAAGAATATAAAATTGGAGGTGGACATCTTTTGTGAGGTGAATTATATTTTTCCAGTTTATCTCTTTATGTGTTTGTTGCCACCAGACCCTTTTAAAAATAGGTATCAATTTAGCAGTTGATTCCCTTATGGCTTTTATATTCTCATTTAGAAAGACCTTTTCCATTTGGGCACAAAAAGGAATTTGTGGTTTTGTTTTTCACATTAAAGGTCTTTGATTTGTCTGGAATTTTAGAATAAACTTAGGATGGTTTACTTTTGGGGTAAAAACGTGTATGTGATGTATAATTTACATATTGTACCGGGATTATAAATATAGTGTAATTCTTGGGAAAGTGTTGTTGCTGTGTTGCTTGTCTCTTTTAAGGGAAGGTCATTGCAAAATTTTTCACGAATTATTAAAGTAACACTTTCCTGTAGGAAATTGGAAAAGTCAAAGGAGGGAATGAAAACCACCCCAAATCCCAGCACCGTATTATTTATAGCAAAATTGAGACTAAACTCATACTGTATCTTTTTCATTTGAGACTAACAGGAACATGGATTTAGAAAAGTTTAAATGGTTCCTTAGCATGGTTTCAGAATTTTTGTTTTTTAACCATACTTAAGGCTTTTAAAGGAATGAATGACCGCAGTAGTAGGCTTATTCAATTTTGAACTATTTTGAAGACATCCATTGTAAATAAGACGCCAGCACTCCCAAGGAACCTGACACTCTGAAGACGCAACTGCCACCCGCGGAGGTCTCGGCGCTGCTCGCAGGGGCGGAGGGAGGTTGGCTTTTCAGGGACTGCGCCTCCCAGCCAGGCTCAACTGCAGCACCCTCTGGTGGCGGCGGTCAGGGCGACTGAAGGGAGGCGCCCGGAGGTGCTGTCGCTCGGTCAGGCTCACCCCTTAGCTAGCCCTGCTTTTTCGAGAGGTTCTTTACTGGCTTTCGGAGCTGCTTTCACCAGGCCGGCTCCCCACGGCTCTGCTGCATAGCCCTACTGTGAGCAGCGCAGAATTTTGGCGCTGGAGGGCGTGGCGCCGCAGAAGACTGCCTGGCGTCCCCAGCGGCGGCGTCCCCATGTCCCCGAGGCGGGGCAAAGCTCCGTCAGGGCGCCAAGGGGTGGCTTCCGCACCCCTGTCCCTCACCGCTCCTTTTGGGGCCGTCTGAGAAGTTTTGAACTTCCTGGGTTGACTCGCCCCGGTATGCGAGGGAGTGGGTGGCCGAGGGCGAGGCTGTTTCCACTGCCTGGGCGCGGCCCTTTAAACTTTTTGTTTTTTAAACTTCGGGGGTGTGGTTGAGGCGTCTCCTCTCTCTGCGGCTGGTTGTTCTCTGGCCGTCCGGTCCTTCCCTCGTCCCGCCTTCCAGATGCTTTGGAGTCATGAGCCGGGAGGGCACAGGGACCCGCCTGGTGGCCGAGGTGATCAAAGGTGAGTGCGGAGGGTACCGGATGCCCCCAGGGACACCTGTATTTACATGGCATCAGGCGGCGCCTGGACTTCGACGAGGCCCCAATCTCTTGCCAGAAGGTGCCTTAAATTTTCGGGGCCAGGGCCAGTGCTGTCTCATGGGCGTGGGTGGCCGCCTAGGCTCCTAGTCCCCGCATGTGCTCTTGCTTTGGGGAGAATGTGAACAGACGTGTGCATAAGGGAGCCCCTAGCTGATAGGTGAGTTACGTCTTTCCACCGAAGGTCTCCACGCAAGGGAGCAAAATCCGTGGTCACTGTACATGGGGATCAAGGGTCATTTGTGGTTGGAAGAAGAGTAAGCCCGTCATCCATCTGAGTGTTTGTGGTTGGGAGACATTTTATTGGAGGCGTTTACAAGGAAATAAACATAGCAATTGTGTGGGTTGAATTGCTGACAATTGTTTAAATTATCGTTTGGGCAAAGGATGTCCTTTGTTTCTTACTGTTTTAAAGGCTGGACTTGATTTTGCCACAATTTTTTAGTGTAAGTATTCTAGCATTACTAGTATTCCTACTACTAGGTATTGCAGATGACTTTGCTTCGCAGAGGATTTTTAGGCAACTTTTTTGGGGGTAGGGCGAGGGGAGGAACTAAAGGTTGGAGCCTCTAAATTTTTAGTACTGGTTACCATTCTTGTTAAGCCTTACAGCAGTTACACAAGTTCATCTCCCACTCATTGTGCAGAAACCTCATTGCTTCTGCTGCGGTGGTAATTTGCCTAATTGTAAAAATCACTGCAAAAGTAGTAATGATCCCTAAGAACAGTTGGGTAAGAACATAAGGTTCATTTTGTTGTTTGTGTTCTATAGCCTTAAATGTTAATTTTGAAGCAGTTTGGAAAGTGTTCTTTATCGACTCAAAATAGTATCTTATTGAATGACTGTTTAGGATGTCTTGAAAGCACAGTGATACATAGTGAAAGTCATCTAGGTTGATGACTAGCCATCAAGCGCATGCTGCCATTTGCTCAGGTATCTTAACCCAGGGGAACTAAACTTCTGCGGTGAGAAGTTCCTCCGGAAATCAAGCCATATTGATCCACAAAAAGTCACTTGTCATTATTGAAACTTATGGTTAAAGACAACTTCTCTTTTAAAAAATGTGCTTATTATCACTCATCAAAATATTCAAAAACATTTTGAAAGTATTGGCACCCTTATCAGAAAACTGCGTGGAAAAAAATAAAAAAATTGACTTCATCTGAAAAGAGTTGTATCATGACATATGAAATTTTTAAAAATTATCTGAAGGAAGGAACATTGCAATTTTTCCATTTCAGATCGCCTTTGTTTTGCCATTCTCTACAGCAGACCAAAGAGTTCATCAAGTGTACATTATTTCAGCATAGATAATGAACTTGAATATGAGAAGTAAGTATTGCTTTTTAAAAGATTGTCAGTAATTTTTTTTATTTTGAAGAATTTAAAGGTATGTTTATAAACAGGATAACCATGGAAAATTACAAATCTGTTGACTGATAATTGCAGGGTGTTTTTTCTTTAACTAACCTTAGTAATAAAATTAGACCCTTAGGGGAAAAAATCCAAATGAAAGAATCTTCCTAATTAACAGTTTGTATTTGAAATTCTAATAGTTTACAGTGCTATGAGATATAAACTAATATACTAAGATGTGTTTTAACCAGTGGAGATGTGTGGAAAAACAACCTTTTTATTCAGAAGGTATTTTCATGTTATTAAAGTTGGATTTAGCTGTTGAATCACTTTTAATGTTTTTTAATAGGCATTATTTACCAGAATATCTCTTCCACTGCACTAGTTAAGGCAGTACCTTGAGGTTATGTGATTGATAACAATTTGGTGTGTGCTTCCTTATCTCAATTTAACCTGGTAGCTCCCAAAAAGGCATATTCAGTGCATCTACAATATATATATACACACATTTTTGTTTTTCACTTTTAAAGCTTCTACGCAGATTTTGGACCACTCAATCTGGCAATGGTTTACAGATATTGTTGCAAGATAAATAAGAAATTAAAGGTAAACTCTTTTTTACCTAAGATTTGACTTAATTGTTGTTAGCCTGATCTTGGGGAGGGGAAAGTAAGGAAAGCACATCTCTGAAAAAGGAAATGTCATGTTTTTTATTGCAGTGGTGTCTGGGACGTGTTCGTGGTTTTTTGTTTTATATAGGCACAGTATATATGTTAGTTTTCCAGAGTTTTGATTGAACAGTTTAAGTTTGGGTCATGTGGTTCAGGTTGGGATTGGTGATACTCAAATACTTGAAAGTCAAAGTGGAAATTGGTTAATAAAGTAAACCTCTTAATTATCTGACCTAATGGAACTGAAACCTAACAAGAGAAACTTCCCTTGCTATGGCCATTGTTCTTTCTGCCTTCACTTTGATAGAGAAGGAGGCTAGCAAACAAAGAAAAATCTGCTCATCTTACTTTCTCTAATTCCATATTAAATCTCCCATGATGTTGTACTACTTGTGACTCTTCACCTTGACTTTTACACACAGGAGTAAGGAGCAGGGGAAGCAAGGACAGACCAGCGTATCCTTAAGGCTGTCACTGAGAGTTGCAAAAGTGTATTTCTATTTAGTTTTAACTTAGACCCCATCCATTTATTTTAAAAACTTTCAAGTATTGCTCATACACAATAGGCAGTGTATATACTGCTAGCAATTCCTAATTAGTAACTATAAATTCTCAAGTTAAAAATATTGGACTTGAGGGCAAGTCCTTTTTAAAAACAGCTTTATTCAGTCAGTTAATTTACCAGGCAACTACACAGAAGAAATACAATTTCTTTTCAATTAAAATTAAATTATATTAAAATTTATGGTTGAGTAAGGCAAATTCTTTTCACTTAAATATCAAACCTAAAATTTCACATCGTAAATGTTAGAAGCATCTGTCAGATGAGCTACTAATCTGTAAAGTGGAAGCTGTGGCATTGCCTTTTTTTTTTTTTTTGTATTATATCTATATAGAGATGGAAACTCTTCTTTCTGGACTTTTGTCTCTCTTGGATAGGAATAGAAGCATTTATAGTCTTACGTATGGATGTCCCCTCTTGCCCCACTCCTCTTTCCAGTTGTTAGTGGCAGGTCTTTTGTTTCATACAGAGCTATGAAACTAAAAATAATTTCCTCTGCCCCCACTTGTGTTCCTTTGCTTTAATTTTGAAAGAATTGTTTCCCGTCCTTAGCCATCTATGGACTTTAATCCTTTGGGTCAACTAAGAATGTATTGGTCCTTTTTTTAACAGTAGGAAAGTGAAAGAAAAGTGCTCCCCGCCCCCCTCCCAGCTTCTTATATTTTCTTTCAGAGGTGGTCTCTACTTTATGTATCTGTTCATATCTCCTTCCCTCCTCTTTAATTGTATATTCCCTCTAATCCAGGAATATGTCTCTTATGGGGAGGTACATGGCACTGGGGGGTATCAAAGTTAATCTTTTTAAATGTCTTGCTAATATGAATCTGAGCTTTGGAATTTATCCTCACAAAATAAAGTTTTAGAAAACTTGAAATTAAAAAGAAAGTACTAACAGTTGTATATCTTTATGCAGTCCCTTACAATGATAAGGAAGAAAATTGTTCATTTTACTGGCTCTGATCAGAGAAAACAGGCAAACGCTGCTTTCCTCATTGGATGCTACATGGTAAGTCTTTAACTACTTTCCTGGTGTATTAGTGAAAATGAGGACACAATGGTACTTTGTTGTTGGAAATTTGAAATTATTTTTTCTAAGATAATGTCTCAATTTTTTTTTCTAGAGAAACATATTTTGCTTTTTAAAAATTGACCAACTGGAAAAGGCTGTGCGTATGTGGTGGCGGGGGTTTGATATCATAGATCTCTGTACCTTCTGCTCATTTTGCTGTGAACCTAAAACTGCTTTAAAAAAGTCTATTTCAAAAAAAATTGACCAGCTTGTGTGAAAACTTCGGTGTTGTGTCAGTTAAGGTTAGAAAATAATGCCTTCAAAACTGTTAGTATGATTCTAAGATTATCTTCGTTCTCATCAAAACATCTAGCCAGGAGGGCATGGTGTGTCAGTGTTGTAGGAAAATGGATACCATACTACATAGCTTACATACAGCTTTGAGTGACTGGTCTGTTTGGGCCACTGGAAATATGTTTTGGAATAGTCAGTACTTACCCAGGAGTTACGGAATTCATTTATTTGTAAATATCTTGGAAGATTTTTTTGAGTCAATTTTTCTGAAGCACCTAGTGCATGCGTTTGCAGGAGTACCTAAGCAGTAGTTTGTCCTCCGTCAGCTAAGAGCAGGGTCTCTCGTCGTTTTGGTGGTGTGGAAGCAAGCTACCCCATTCAGTGAGAAGGATAGCAAGTGGATGTTTCTTCTATTCCAAGCCACATAGTTGTAATAGGTACTCTCCTAGATTAAAAAAACAAAACAAAACAAAAAACTGATTGTTTTTGTTCCTGAGATGAGTTCTTTCTTCCCTCAGCTTAAGTAGTTCCTGTCATGCTCCCTCCCTTTTAGGATATACCAGTATTCTTTTCTGATACATAGTTTGATAACCCGGAATTTACATTAATTAGACCAGAAGTTGGTGGTACTAGTTAAAATTTTCTCAACATTTAATAATTTCTTTTTTCCTATGTCTAAGGTATATAATTAACAACAAAGGTTGAGGCCTGTTGGTTTTGTTTTCCTGTTTGTGCTTACAAAAGTAATTGAGAAATGCTTCTGAGATAAACTTTAAGTTTTATTATCATCTCTGATTTTATGGAACACAGGTTGTAGATTGTATTTATTAAAATTTGATTTCTTAAGCTTACCCAGATGTGGTGGTGTTTGTTTTTTTCCCATCTTTTCTGCTGTTTGTTGCACTTAGCAGCAAAAATCCTTGGTGTAGGTGGGAAAGAGCCTGATAAGTTCCCAAGAAAAAGAGTATACAAAGGCGGCTGTTTTAACTAGGATGTTTGCTCCCATTCCTTGGGGAGAGGAACCCCATGATTAGAGTGAATCAGGACAGCTTTACAGAAAAAGGGGCACAGCCAGGTTTTGGGGGGTTTACAGCATATTAAAGGGAACCCTAAAGAAACGGCCCTTGGAATGACAATAAAAGTTCTTAGGCTGTGCAGGAGAAAACACAAAGCTCTGCCTGGGCTGTTTTAGGCCAGCAGTTTGTCTTGAGTCAGATGAGATGTCCCCAAGGGGTGGGTCCTGAGGAAGCAGACATGGCAACTTCAGTGTGAAGAACCCCGGAGAGGGTAGCTGTGGACATGGTGGGAAACAAGCATTGTTATAAAAACAAAACTCTTGATAATTTTATAAATAAGAAATCTCTTTAAATTTTTTTAATTGTCAGTTAAAAACAGTAATCCCTTGGCATATTTACTAAAAATTTGTTGGCATATTTGTTTGCAGTTTGGCATTGGCCTTTTGACTTTTGTATTGTGGCATTGTTAAAGACCATAAATTCAACCCAGTAAATTTAAAGGTATAGTTGGTTTTATTAATAATTCATGCATCAGACAGAATCCCATCTGGTAAGTAGAAAGGTGCTCCAGCTGTTATGAATGAATGAATGAATGAAAAGAAATGAAAGGTTTTTATAGGTAGAGGGTCAGACAGGAAGGTATAAGAATGCATTATTTCAGGCAAGGTCACCTTCCCTTAGGTAAGGAAGGCAGGGGGGTCTTTTGAGGTAGATTGCTTTTTTAATGCTGACCTGGAAGTTCCAGGCTGAATGGTTTAGCATTCCATTCCTGGGATGGCTGAACCTGCAGTTAGGTTAGGTATTAAGTCTTGGTGGGGTTCAGCAACAGTGACTCCATTTTTAATAACAGGCAGAAGTTAATTTTGGGGGGATTTAATATATTTCATATTATAGATCCTTTTAGGATTCTCTGCTTTCAGGGTAGCACTGATTTGATTGGTTAGGAAAGTGCCAGGTAAGCAGTTTGGACATCTCCTTCAGTTCATTCTTCGGCTCAGCTAAAAAGCCAAGTTGGCAGGAGGATTACAACTCTTGGCTGTAGCAAAAGCGTTTGCAGCCATGAAGGGCTGACTGAAGTGGGAGCGTGGAGCTGTAATGACGCTAGGTGGGGAAACAGGAGAAAAACAGCTAGGAAAAAGAAATTTATTAATAGTAGCAAAGGGGTTGCAAGATAGTAGAATATGGATACCTCAAAAGAGTAATTAAACATCAAAGTAATAGGTAAGCGAAGGTTTGTTCTGGTGAAGTCTATAGAATTCTGATTAGAGATTTGTAGAGAGGTGAGTGGGAATTCCCTGAAAATTGATCTTCCACCTTGATAACCTTTTCTGGAATTGTTGAAGAATTCTGGAGTTGGTAAGGCTTTTTAGTGAGTGGCTTGGGTTCGGGGGGGGGGAGGTGGTAATGTTAAAACAAACAACAAATATGGAGGGAAACTTGAGAAGTCCATTCCAAATGGACTGACTCCTTTCATTTTGCCCTTTTAGCCTCTGGGCGTCCCAAAGGAATCGTGCTCCCTTCATTTTCCTTTACTCAAAAGGACCAGTATGGGGTGTGGAGGGAGTGTGAGAATGAAGCACTAGTATTTTTATTTTTATTTTTTTTACCCTACAACAGATGAGATTAGGCTTTACAGTTACTTAAAATGGGATTGATAAGCGCATGCCCAGCTAGTGCTTTTGTCACATGGTCGGGCAACATCTGTAGTATCAGAAGTGAGAGGAGCAGCTTGACTGTTCATTTCTCTTCAGTGTATTTCCAAGTATTGTACTTTATGTGGTCTTGTAAATGGATTTATCAAGTATCACAAATGGTGAATCTTTGGTAACAAATTAGCCTGAAACTAAAAATCTTTTGAACCACACTGTAAAAAGAGTAGAAGACATAGAACATAACTGAAATTTTCTTTTAAAAGATGAGTGAACTGTATCATTTTATGAAATAATAAGTTTGCTACCCTGTTGTGATAAGTCAGTGACTGTTAACCTATCTAGACTGGGGGAGGAGGAGTATTTAACCTGTCATTTCAAATATAAAATTTTGAGTGGAAAAGTAAGTTCTTTTCACAACAAATTAATAATTAAAAGAATATTTAAAAAATAAAAGTTAGAAACTTTGTCATTTTGTTGTAAAAAATTGATATGTATGAAACCTATATGTGTACCTTGGAGAAATTCGGGAAATTTTTCTTAAAAAAAAAACCACCAAAAAATCCCCTCATTTATATTTACAGAAGCAGGACACATGCGCATGTATTCAATATGTGTACCATGCAATTCCCTAGTACAGTTTTATCACCTGATTTTTTCAGCAAGTGATGTTTTATCATCTTTATACCCAGGTTATATTTATATTTCCCCAATTGATCAAAAATGTTCAAGCCAATATCTCATTGAGGTTGTATGTGGTGGTTGTGCTTTTAATCTCTCACACATGGTCTCCTTTGCTAATACTGATTTATGGAAGAGGCCAAGTTATCTTGTAGACTGTTCCAGCTTTTGAATTTCTCTGCTTTTTTCCCTGTGATGTTTTAAAACTTGTTTCTTTGTTCTTTATATTTCCTGTGAACTAGAGAGATTAAAGCTAGGCCCGAATCCCTTCAGCGTATGGTTTTTTCGTTATGGCTTAAATGTATTCTCTGTGGTGTTATTTAAACAAGTTGTAGTCTTATGTTTGGTTCCCCGTCAACATTTATTTAGTGTTTTAAACAACAATTGATAATACTTGCCTGAATCAGTAATTTTATTAGAGTTTCAGAATAATGTTTTTAAAATTATTTCATTCATCCTTCATTTATTTACAGGCTTTCTTTTATGGGAATTGAGCTTTCCCTCGTCCAGTTGGGGCTCTTTGGTTCCCCTGAAACCTAATTTTTTGCTGAAAAGACAGAATGAATGATCATTTCCCTTTAATCACCAGTTTTCAAAGTAAAGTGTTAACATTAATAGCCACAAAACTAAATTTTATAACTTGCTTTAAAATCATGTAAAACAAAGTATCAGTGGGTTTTGAACTCATTTGCTAAACATTTTGAAAATGTGCAGCACTTAGCATTAGATTTAAAAAAAAATTTTATTTTATTTTATTTTATTTTAGACTTTAAAGAAAGGGGAAGGAAGGGAGAAAGAGGAGAGAAACATCAATGTGTGATTGGCTGCTTTCTGTAAGAACCCCGACCAGGGACCAAACCTGTAACCCAGACATGTGCCCTGACCGGAAATTGAACCAGCCACATTTCGGTTTGCTGGAGGATGCCCAACTAACTGAGCCACACCAGGTGGTTTATCCATATTTTATAACAACATCAGATTAGCAATTGGGAAGTTGGAAATTAACTAGCCAAATGTACATCATTGATGGATGGGATTAGACAAATGAGTGTAATCATTCCTGCATTTTCATTTACATATCATGGTCAGGTACTTTTTTTTTTAATTACAGCACACATTAAGAGTTCAAATAGCTGAACTTAAAACTAAGCTTTTAAATAAAAAAAATTTAAAATGAAGCATATCAGTCACATTAACTGATACATTTATTCATATTTTGGGAACAAGGTTTTTTTAGTACAATTGCAATATGCAATAATTCATTTTAGAAATAATTGTTGCTATCTTTTTCTTTTAAATTTTTTGTGTATACTTTAAATGGAGATGGTGTGCTGTTTCACTAGTAGGTGCAAACATT